GTTTTTGATCAGCGTCAAATTCTGAGTTGATTTAGCTTTGTCTGTCCGTCCGTCCGTCCGTCCGTCCGTCCGTCCGTCCGTCCGAACGATAACTCAAAAACTAATTGAGCTAAGTTCACCAAATTTTCACAAATGATTTATTGTAGTAAGTAACCCTATTTAAATTGGACATGATCGGGGTACCGGTTCGGGTAGCTGCCATACAACTTCAAAATTTATTTGGCTATATCTCAGAAACTATAAAGGTTATGGTATTGAAATTTCACACAAACGAATATATTAGTAGGGCCAATGTCTCACATAAAAGTCGTTGAATTTACTTGGCTCCTTCTGGTACCTGCCATACAACTTGCAAAATTATTTGGCTATATTTCAGAAACTATTAAAGTTATGGTATTGAAATTTCACACAAACGAATATATTAGTAGGGCCAATATGTCACATAAAAGTCGTTGAAATTACTTGGCTCCTTCTGGTACCTGCCATATAACTTCAAAAGTTATTTGGCTATATCTCAGAAACTATAAAAGCTGTGATATTGAGATTTCACACAAGTGAATATATTAGTAGGGCCGATGTGTCTCGTAAAAGTCGTTGAAATTACTTGGCTCCTTCTGGTACCTGCCATACAACTTCAAAAGTTATTTGACTATATTTGAGAAACTATTAAAGCTATGGTATTGACATTTCACACAAACGAAAATATTAGTAGGACCAATGTGTCTCATAAAAGGTGTTGAAATTACTTGGCTCCTTCTGGTACCTGCCATACAACTTCAAAAGTTATTTGACTATATCTCAGAAACTATAAAAGCTGTGATATTGAGATTTCACACAAGTGAATATATTAGTAGGGCCGATGTGCTTGATAAAATTCGCTAAAATTTCTTGGCTCTTTCTGGTAGCTGCCATACAACATCAATAGTAGTTTGGCACAACCAGTATTTTGAATAACACAAAGTACTGAAATTTTGCATAAATTAATATGGTAATACGGCAACTTAAAGTCATAGTCTGCCCCATAGTTACTTATGGCACATTAGTTATTCGCACATACGATAACAAATTCGTACGGGTATCACAGAGTTGACAAGGTCAACTCTATTTTTTTTCTCGTTTTATATTATAGTTTTACGAGAATATAATAGATTTGAGTTTAAATGTAAGTATGTATGCAAAATTAATGGTGAATAAAAAAAAAATAGTTGTTTGATGAGCACAATTTAAATTTTGTTTGACGAAAACGTGAATTATGACAAAAACGAAAATTCTTTTTTAGCAAAGTATTAATTTTGAATCATGTTAGAATTTGGTTTAAATCAGATATTTTTTTTAACTTTTTAAACAAGGAACCAAAATTTTATGAAAAATGTTTCACATCCTTCCATAAATTTCCATTTGAAAAATGTTTTCTCTCACACCTAATTATTTTTAATCAATTCTCATGGAACTTTATACCAGAATTTCATTTACAGGGGCTGTTTTCGATTAGCTTCTGAACTACATTGGGAATCTATTTTACAATATACATTTTTGATTACTTTCGCGATTTGGTTAGATTTTTATAATCAATAAATTTCCTTGAAATTTGGTATTTTGTTCTTGTGCATTGATAGTACAAAATATTATAGGCCCTCTTTGTCAAAATTGGATCCAATATGTTAGATTTTTTACAATTTTATTTTATTTTTTGCATTTTTATTTACTGATCATACCCTCCTGTTAAACTAAGAAAGCGTCTATGTATGTATATAATTTATAGAAATTTTTAAATATTACTAAGAAAATAAAGAATGCAGTCGTTAATGTTGTATTGTCAAATTATAGTTCTTTAAAGTTAAGTGCTCAGACAGACATGCAATTATCAATTTTACAATTACTGCTTGAATGTAGAATTGATACACGCACATCTAACCAACTAAACTATTACGTCAATTCAAACCAAATGCGTTAAATAAAAAATTGCAATCAATTTGTAAAAAATTATAAACTTTTTGGTTGCTTAATTGCATGCGACACCATAGAGTTTGCATGTGTACGCGTTTGAATTAAAATTTATGGAATACTAAGCAATCAAAAAGTTGCAAAACTAAAAATTGCATGTCAATCTGAGCCCTAAGTGTACATATAGCAGCAAATCGATTATACATGTTAGTGACAGGGTTTTTATTTACATTATAATTACCTACATTATTTCAATTAAGTAAAGGTATGTAAGTGTGTATATTAACTACAGCATAATTAGAAGATTCTTACATTGTATGTCTAACCTTAATATAAATACATGCTGTTCCCTTTATTTACATATTATTATATCCATAAATACTTTTGTATATATCACATATGTGTACAACACTGTATATTACAGGTCACGTACATATATGTATGTTTGTATAAAAAAATTAAAAACTAAATTATATATTTTAAAAATTTTTATTTAAAGTTCATTTGAATTTGATGAACACCGAATATTATTTACATAATAATTATTATTGTATAACCACATATGTGCCGCCTATAGTACGTTCGTATATTTTAGACTTTAGAGTATTAAACGATGAAGAAGTGTAAAAGACTAAGAAAATCACACACATTTGGCGTGACGTGTCTGTATATTAATAATTATAGTGTTTATATTACGCTAAAAAAAAAAAAAAAACCCAAAAAAAAAAAAAGAAATAAAAAATAGACAAAGTAGAAATTTGTTTTTTTTTCATTTTATCTATTTTTAGAATTGGTTTTTGCAAAAACATGACGTATGCCAATAGTAGCGAAGTTTATTGGACAAATTTGCAAAAAAAAAAAAGAAAAAAAATTTTTAAACTTTTTTGTTTTTGGTTTTTTTTTTTGTTGTATTTTTTTTTGGCTGAGAAGTTCATGGAAAATTGAAAAATTTTGAACATGCTGTGTAGTGTGTACGTTTTAGAGTTTTGTAGGGTATGATCAATGATGTTGTTTTTTTAATGACAAATAAAGAATTGTTTACTGTTATCTTATAAGTTTATTCGATTATTTAAGCAAATTACATATGTATGTAGCTACTGCATACATAAATGTACATTAAATTAGTTTTGATTAAAATTAAAATTTAATACTGTCTTGTATCTTGTCTATGCCAAACAAAATCCATAATTTGCACAAAATGAGTACCTATGTATGTATGTACAAAATGCCTACGATTATCTCCACGTTAAATGGGGAGATTTATATCAATTAAGAATACTAAATTCTTTACATTATAGACTACATGTATATGTTTGTACATAATTATTTCGCATGTAAGTATCTAATGAAAAGTAGTACTTGAAATTGAGTTTTTTTTTTTGCAAATCGGAACTTTATAGCCTTTATTTGCTAATTTAATCTTTTAGTTTGTCATTTGAACTATGTAGGTATTTCTGAACAAAAAAAAAACAATTTCTATTTGATTTTTTTTATATACATGTACTATATATGCAGTTCACACAAACATAAATATACATATTAAGCGTTTAAGGCAGACACATTTTCATTTTTAATCGATTTTGAGAGACTCATATACGAAATCTCACTTTTTATCTTGTTTGAGCATAATGAGCGTTCAAAACAGACTTAATATTATTTTTTAACCTTACTTAGACAATATGCGTAGATATGTACGTATTTCCTATTTTAATTTTAATTACTTATAGACATTATCAATTTTATTTTTCGTGAACTTTTGCGAAAAATTATTCATTATAAATTTTTTCAAAATATTTTAGTAAAAAAACCACGTACGATATTATACGAGCAGCCAAAAACCTGTTTGATTAGATAAAGCGCCTTTGCTTAGGCAAATTATTTGAAAATATTGTATGATACTACAAAGCAATTTAATATTCATATTTAAGATAAGGTATTTTATCTTTTTTATTCGATTTAAAAACTTATATTGAACCGGACATTAATTGGGGTATTATGGAATAATATCAACTTTATATAGTGGCTATGTAATAAATTAAAATTAAAAATTTTTTTTAAATTAAATACCTTCAAAATTGATACATACATGTGTACATGCTATATATAAAATAATAATTATAAAAATCCATTTGCTTTAAAATAGAACGCACTTGTAGTAATTTTTGGTCTACCCAATGTCTCCGATCTATATTGACACAATTAAAAATGTTGATTTATATACGCAAGTGTTGAAAGTATTAGATTGTTGAAAACATATTGGCATACATATTTAACTTAACAAATTGATGGATTTTTTAAGAAGATGTGAAAAAAATGAATTTTTGATAGAAAATTATAAAAAACTGTTAATGAGCTAATTATATTTTGTACATTAATGTTAAACAGTCTAATTTCAATTAAATAGAGAACTGAATTATTCCATTGAATAAAATATTTATGTATTATTTTGTAAAAATATGTGTAATCAAAAATATTTGAACTATTTTATTAAGCGGTCATTTAACTACAAGTTAATAATTAGACAGAAATGTGAATATAATAGTGTAGCATATTGTAGTACAGATAGAATGTGAAATATATGTAAATGTAAAAAATTATACTATATTTATTATTCATATTGTGTATAGTGTTAGTTTGTGCGCGTATAAAATGACGTAAGTGTATTTAATTTGATAATACATGCATAGCTTATATTCAATTAATTTGTATGACATCATGAAAATTTTATGAAAAATTTTAATTTTCTTTTTAGAGGGAAAGCTTTAATTCATTTTAAGTTTAATAGTGTTTTTAATATATTTAATATTGCATGCACAAATACACATAGCACATAATATGCGTGGGTAATATGAGATTTTATGTGATTTATTAATACCATCTATTTGTTCTAAAATTTTTCTACGATATGCTCGATATTTTATGTATTTAAAAACGGCAGCTATCCGAAAATAATCAAGTTAAATAATAATTTATAAACCAAGTTACATTTTTTTTTACAAGAGTCTTTTAGTTTTGGGCACATTACATAAGTTTGTTTTAACAAAACTATTACTTACATCGTCCATTCCATTTGTTGCAAGTACACTATAAGTTAGAATCATACTACTTATATCCAAAAAATAAAATGGCTCCGGAAAATTAAATGAATATTCTCGTTTTTTTAACTTACCTAAAATGAAAATAAACAGAAAAAGAATAATTAATGTAAAAGATAGTTTTAAAGTAAAAAAAAAAAAATATTTATTTTTTATTGTAAAAATTTAAGCAAAATTATTAGAAAATGAATACAAGCTGGAATAACCGACAAATTTGTTTTATTTGTATAGAATTTTTTGAAAAAATTCTTTTATTTATTGTGTTAATTAAGAAAAATTTTCACCTGATTCATAGCGCACAATATTGCATTTTTCTTAAAGTTTAAATTATTGTTTCCAGTTAATACGAATTGGAAACTCACAAACCATTTATTTATTTTCTCTTGACAATTCAGTTGTACTATCAAAATTTTTCGATTTTTTTTGCTTCTCTCAGTTTTTATTAAACACCAATTTAAAAAAATATTAATTCTCACTTCTTATGAAATTTTCAAAATATTAAAAAATTGTGCTTATTAGTTTATTTCGGTCTGTCTGTTTGTCTGTTTCTAGATTTTATAAATTTATATATAGAAAGAATGTGAATTGTTTATTTTACAGTAAAGTAATATCGTCGAGCATCGCTATAAGAAAATCGTCGTCGGATTGAACATTATCATAAACTTTAATTTTTCACAATCTTAACATCATTTTTCTTTTTAGATCACAAAACAAACTGTACTGTTCCGAAAGCATTATATGGCTAATTTTATTAGAAGTTCGAAAAAATTGTTTTTGTATTTTGCTCACTACGCGAAGTTTGTTGAATAATCAGTAACTCATTTCTTGTTTACCCGTATTAAACTTCGGTACAAAAAGGCTTTTTATAAGAAGACACATTTTTAAATTCTAGCCAACATAATAAATTAATCATGTAATTAAATCACTTCTCTTAATTTTTGCTCTTCTCCTGAGTGTATGCTTCATTGTATAATGAAATGATGCATCATTTAAAATTGGCTTTTTTCAATTTTGCTGTGAAATGTGCTATTTAATATAAAATTTATTTGATTCGAAATTTTAATATTCGCATAAAATTTTATAAATTGCTGCACGCATTTTACATAAATAACTTTCCTCTATATATACTATTTAAGTGGCCATTAAATTTTATATCTTTAAGATTATGTTATTATTAATATCCCTAAAGGCATCTATGCCCCATATTTTTAATTTATATGCGAGTATCTACTTATCATTTTAGTACGCATACATTTACAAACTAATTTTTTCCTTTTCCAAATAATTTTAATTATGATAATTGTTGCTGAACTACTTTTTTCACATTTGCAAATCTATTATATTAAAATGTCCAGAACGAATGCATTTATACATGTATGTAATATTATGTAAATTGTGTATACATATATAAAATAAAAAAATTTAAATGAAATTAAAACAGAAAAAAAAAAATCTATTTATACTTTGGATTAAATACTTTATAGGCATAATATTTATAAGAGTCTGAAAAACTTTCCCACTGGATATTGTAATTTGTAGAAATTAAAAGAAAAAAAAAAATAAAAAATTGGAACAAAAAATTGCATATTGTATATAATCTCTTTAAATTATATTATTTAAGCTAATTTATGAATTCAAACAAAAGTGCACATTAAAATATTTAATTGCTGGAGGCTATACTTTAGTAATTAATCTACTTTACATAATATTATAGTAATACAATATAAAATTTCAATACATCTATTAAAATATACTTATTACTATAAAAAATATTCGAAGTAAAAGATTAAATAAAACGGTAAGGATTTTTATAATTTTGTAAATTTAATTGGTTTTCATGAATATAGATTGTGTAATGAATCAAAGCATACATCCATAATTGAAATTGTTGAGCTTATTGAATTTTAATAATTTAAAATAGAATATAGCACTTAATCCTCTTTTCGGGCTGGTTATATACAATCAAAAATTAAGAACTGCTAGCTTTAAAAAAAAAGTTGTTTATTGAAATTTAACTTAATTTACTACTATAGACTGAAATCCATTAATAACAAAAATTAGTGGTTCCCAAAATAAATAATAATTTTGTCTTCGTTGAACAATGGTGCCATTTGAAACCATTCTCAACTATCCTTGAAGAGCATGGATACTTAAATAATTAAGTATTAATTGCGTGACATTTTGTAAAAGCATTCTCGACATTAAAATGTTAAGCTTATCCAGTGAGAAACATGTGTAGGTATAAACAATAAATTCTCAGTTTTTGATTTATTTTGACCTTAGCTGTAGTTACTGTTCATATTGGAAGTAACTTGTTTATTGGGAGAGTAAAATATTGTCTTAAACAGAACACAACCTACCAAAATTACTGATTCTGAGAAAAATTGTAACTAAAGCAAAAATTGCATATTTTCTCGTAATTTAATTTTTTAACATTGAATATTAGCGTATTTTTACAAATTGTTAATAACGGATTTGAAATTTCATTTTGTGAGAACAGAAAAAATTTCCCTATGATGTCTCTATGGTGTCAAAAATATATTATAACATCCATATTTCTGATCTCGTATGCATACATACGCGAAATAGGAATTAAAATTATTTCACGAAATTTTTATCCTTGATCTAATTTGCAAATATTATATAATAACTATTACAGTATCAACCGGTATGCGTCTAAAAAAAAATGAAAATAATAAAACTATAGAATTCATTTTGCCCGCACAATACAACTGATGAATGACTTTTTCTGTAATATTTGATTTCAACTCATTTAATTTGATTTCATGATGGTTGATATTTAAATTGTAATAAAAATTATAGCAATATTGATCAACAAATTATGCATATTTTATGTTACAAATCAAATCATACTCGTATAAGAAGCACCAATATATTCGGAAGAAATATTTAGTAGAAGTAGAGATTCGGTAAATTTTATTTGAGCAACAAAAGTCCTATATGTACCTACAATTATGAAAAGTTTCGGTTGAGCAATTTAACTGAGGTTTTAAGCACAAAATTTATCAGTATTTATACAGTACAATTAAACAAGCTTTTTATATACATATATATATTAATTTTATCCATAAAGTTGAGTGTATTTCATTTTAGGATTCACTACTTAATTTGTTGATGTTTTTACTTTTTCAATTTAAAAAGCGCAATGTTATATTTGTTATACAATATTCTGCTTGTATGTACATATTCCACTTGAATGTTCAGAACGTGTAACTTTATAATTAAAGCTTTTACGATTTAATTCTATTTAACAAAATAAAAATATCCCCGAAATGGTAAAAAAAAAAATTTTTATTTGCTGTACCAAATATAATGAAAAAATTTCATCTACAGAACTACATACTTATATTACATTTGCTATTGTGTGTGCGTGTACATTGTTATTATCATTATTGTGTCATCATTAATATTAATATCAAAATCATTGTATTTCCATAAATATTACATTGGATTACAGTTGAACTTAGATAATAATATATGAGATATTCAGGTACTTTAATAGGAAAGGCAGGAAAAATGAGAAAAATCAATTCAAAGAAAATCAAAACAGGGGGGTGCGGCCTTGCCCACGTTAAAAATATGAAACTTTTCCTCGTTCTTTATAAATACTGTACATTAGCACAAGCATATAACACATTAGCTAGTTGAAAGTTTTCTTGCTTTTATAATAGTAGGCCGCTAAGGGTTTACATATTAATCCTTTGATGCTTTTAACTAAAGAGTTAGTTAAATTGTAAAACTCTAAATAAGTGTGACAGAAAATTGTTTAAGAAATCTCTCACTTTTAACACTCTCGTACCCAATGAAATTCGTTTTATCCAAATTCACCTGTATAAGTATATCAAACTATCAATATCATCACTATCTCTGTTATCAATGGTTTTTTTTTTTTGTTACAATTTGTTTTTCAATTCATTTGGTATTATTGAAAAAAATGAAACGAAAAACAACTGAAATTAAAAAATGAAAAAAAAAAACAGATCTGAATTTTATGTAGTATAACAAAAAAAAATTTTTTTTTTTCAAATCTTCAATCTAAAGTAACTTCAAATTAAAGTTTGAATATTTTTCACGTATCTCACACATGCCATATATGCATATACATAATAAAACTACAGAATATGAACAGAAGTGCTGGTATTCATGTATTCTATGTGAAATTAAAAATACAACATGTATAATGTGTGTCTGATTGTATTTTATAAATATATATTGACATGAATGTTAAGTACATACAGTCATATACACAAATGTTTTGCACACTAATATATATGTATATAGAACGATAACGTATCAAAACTTACTTAAGATTTTAAGATTATTATTAATTTTATTGCATAATTTGTAAATCAACAAAATAAAGTTCTCAGAACTGTCTGTTTTTAAATGAACTTTTAGAACTATACATATTTTTAAAGTAATTAAGCAGATATTTAGGGTTTTCAATGAAATTTAAGCAAGTTTAAAATTAAAAGACATAAAACTTCATCTAGAAAAAGTAACAAGTATAGATAAGAATTTTGTGAAATAAAATTGGCAACTCAAACATCTGGTTGTAAAGAATTTAACGGTAAATTTCGTTCAAATAAAAGTTTTAAAGAAAACCATAGAAACTTTGGCAATTTTCAAATTAGAGAAGTTTGAGGAAATTTTAGAAATTTGGAAAAAAATTATGTTTCGACTAAATTGAATTCAATGAGATAGATTAAATTTCATAAAAAAATTCAATTGTTTCATATTTTTTATTCTTAACTTCAGAATCAAGTGAACAACCGGCGTAAATTGATCAAATTTTGACAAAACATACAGATAAAAATATACAAATTTCAAAATTACAATAAAATAAAAATAACAAATCCTACTTTTTTCAGGCCGAAAATTCTTACTTTATTTATTCTTAAATATTTTCTTCTTTCTCATCCTAAATGTATGCAATCTTTTGAAATATTTTGGTGTATGAATGAAATTATTTTAAATAATGTAATAGATTGTTATTAACAGCAGTTGTTCAAGAGAAAAGTGTTACTTTTCAAACCATTGATTTCGCCCAATTTTATTGTAGC